TCTCAATAAAAAATAAGAGTGGGAATAAGAGAGGGAGGAGGAAGTATGTAACTGTAAAGCTGTATAGTTCTGCATACAGTCCCACGGACTTACTTCTAAGTGTACTGTTTATTAAAAAACTTGCCATGGGACCCCAAATCCCATTAAACTGGGTGGTAAAAATGCCATCTTAAGTGTTAGAGTGACCATACTAAGTGTTAAAGTGATCATATAGATACAATTAAGTATTAAAGGGATAATATAAATAAGACCAAATGTCTGAACATAATAATAGATAGAATTAAGGACAGAATGTTTCAATATGGGAAACAGTCCCCAGCAGTCTCAAAGAATGACAATCACTTTAAATAACACTCTGACCTCAGAATCAGCCTTTAAGGCATTCAGGTCTGGCTGAAAAGCCCATGAGAGCATTTCAGGCATGGAAAGCCAAGACACCGTGGCAAAAAGATGCCCTACATGAAGGATTTCTGTGAGAGAAACCCTAGTGGAAAGAAGTGGCCATCAAAGAAGGATGTACTTTTCACCGAAGGGAGAAGAGAACATCCACTTTGCTTATGGCCTTGTCTAATTACCAAAAGAGATTGTGGATTCAAAAGGCTTCCACAGCCTTGGCAACTCATGTCAAGAGCCTTGGCTGGTCACTGACGTCATACAGAAGAGTGTGAATCGTTAAATTAACAACAGGAGTCACTGTGCACTGAGTTCCCATGCATGACCTCTGTCCTCAATGAGTTGTATTATGAGAAATAACTGTAAGACTTGTTCTCGGTTGTGTGTGTGTGTGTGTGTGTGTGTGCAAACTTCTGTGTATAAAGTTAATTGAAAATGAATCTTAATGGAGAATGGGGCTGGGAATGTGAGAGCGAGGAGGAGGTAGGTTGGGAGTAGGGGTGGGAGGGTAACTATTGTGGGTAGAATCACTACTTTCCTAAAGTTGTACTTATGAAATTTGTATTCATTAAATAAAAGGTTCTTATAGAGGAAAAAAGAAGAAAAGCAGAAGTGAGGAGACTGCAAAAATAATTAGGAAGTAAAAAAATACTGAGGCCCTAGTCTGAGGTAGCAAAACACACACACACACACAAAACAGAAAATAGACAAAAATCACCCCAAAAATATACTTGGTGGGAGACAGGCCCTGAAGAACACTAGGATTTAAGGATGGGCAATATTAGTTTGTTCTCTTCCAGACTGAGAAGCAATCCATAGAGCTACAGTTTAATGATGTCAAAGAAAATTTATGGAAGATGGAAGATGGAGTTATCAAGAGGATTAAGTGCTGAGAAATCTGTAACTGTAACAAAGTGACAAGGAAGTAAGTGCTGTGACCCTGGTGAGAGCTTGAATACACAACTGTGTACAAAATACTGCCAACTGTTTGGGACAACTGGCAAATGAGGAAATACAAAGAGTTATGTGTAGAAATTCCTAGGCAGAAGTTTACCTATAAAATAAAGGTTAAAATACAGCAGAACAGTATGGGACCAAGAGCTGTTTTTTGGTTTTACTGAGTTTTTTGTTTTTGTTTTTGTTTTTTTTTTGACAGGCAGAGTGAGAGAGAGAGAGACAGAGAGAAAGGTCTTCCTTTACCGTTGGTTCACCCCCCAATGGCCGCTGTGCTGGCACACCGTGCTGATCCGAAGCCGGGAGCCAGGTGCTTCTCCTGGTCTCCCATGGGGTGCAGGGCCCAAGCACCTGGGCCATCCTCCACTGCACTCCCGGGCCACAGCAGAGAGCTGGACTGGAAGAGGGGCAACCGGGACAGAATCCGGTGCCCTGACCGGGACTAGAACCCGGGGTGCCGGCGCCACAAGGTGGAGGATTAGCCTATTGAGCTCCAGCACTGGCTGGTTTAACTGAGTTTTAAGATGAGGTAGTTTAGATGTCCTTAATTTTAGGAAATGTGTACTGAAATATTTGAGCTGAAAGTCATGTCTAAAATGTACTTTCAAATGGTTCAGAAAAAAAGTTACACATTCACATAAATAGATAAAATGAGGAAGTACAGATGTGGCAAGATACACAATTGATGAATTCAAGTAAAAGATTTATGGATGGGTATTCACTGTATTACTCTTTCATCCTGTCTGAAGAGCTTAACATGTCAATAGAGATTTATAAAAAAAAAAGAACTACAGAGAAACTGAAAGTCAGTGATGAAGGCCAGGAGAGATCAACCAAATAGGGTCCCAAAAGAAGGTAGGAGGGGAGGGCGGGACTGGCCCACAGAGCATGGACTGACCATTCAATTCTACCCATCAGAGAACTGAAGTCAAAAGAGCTGTACGAAGTGTGAGAAATGCCATCAGCCATATAATTAACTGTCAAATAACTCACTTTATGTCATTTAGTTCAAAAGAAAATCAAAGAAAGGGAAAGATCACCAGCAATCCTGTGGCTAGGAGGTAGTATTAAGACAGACCTTTCCAGTAAAAATTTCTTTAATGTAAGGTATTAATATTATATGCTATAAACACATATAATTATATGTGAAAGAACAATGCTAAGCGCACAAATATGTGAACTTTAATGGTTTTGTTGCATTTATATCACAACAGTGTTCTTCAGAATTATAACCAATCAGAAACACTAAAAAATTTGCATAATACAGGCCTTAAAGGGCACCAGAAATTAACAATACATAACTATTTCATAGAGTATCCATAGAAAATCAGATTTATTACCAAGAACAATTTTGTGGGAATCTTTTCAGTACCAGTTCAACCAGAATATCAAAACAGGGAGTTAACTGTTGGAAGTTTCTATAATATAGTCTTTTTTTTTTTTTTATTGCCAAGGAAACAAAGAACTGAGTTAAGTTAAACAGATGTGAACCAAGACATGGAGTGTTAAGTCTTCTCTGGCCACAATATCCACTTATGCTTATTATCCTCAGTGGGTGATGCCCACCCTCAATTTACTTTTTTAAAAAGAAGCAATAGAAACAGAACTGTTTTTCATGTGTGAAAAGCTCGAGACCCATACTACACATAAAATTAATAAAGGATGTTGTGAAATAACCATTACTAGAATTTCCATATAATAAATTAAAACTTAAAATTGGGATTTTTAAATGAAAGGGAATATGGTATGTTTTACTCATAGCATAGAACAAATTTATCAGGTGATTCAGGGAATTGGTACCCACAAATGGACCGTGAAGGGAAAGATCAGCAGGAATACTTCAGGAGCTGTAAAAGGATGATTCCTGCTGTGGTTTCTTTGAAAAGTTTTCGTGGCAACTGGCCGAACTGCCATCAATATGCTACTAGTAACGTTAAAAATTGAAAACTCAGATGAACAGCAAATACGTTTCAGTCTAGTAGCACACCATTATCAATGTGGCTTTATGTAATTGTGTACTGGAATAAGCACTGTTTCAAGGCTGCTTTATTTTTGTTTCCCAACAAGAACACCAATTTGCCCTTTCCATAATTTTACATGGAAAGCAAAAGGTTCTCTTCCTATTCCACAAAAATATATGGAAGAGAAAACTGTTTGCTATGGCAAACAACATTTTCTTGGCTACTGTAAATGCTAGTTTGGGCAAATGGACATTCTAGACGGGTAACTAATGTGAAAGCTCTATTTGGGATTGTTACTTGTTTTGTGCCCTAAACAAAGGAGGTCTGAGAAAAGATGAAGACGTGAATTATGTAAGCCAGAGCTTTCATGTAGTAAATTGAGAATTATTATATTGCTGAAAACTTAATACATCAAATCGTAACCCAGCTGGTTGAAAAAAGGTTCTTAGCTCAATGCTTTAAATACAGGTGAGTCGAGTGTTTGCAAAAGCAATACAGAAAAACATGACCTTCTAAAATAGACAAATTAGAAGACTACTATAAATATATGTTTGCAAACAGTACACTCTTTGGTGCCAAATTAGCCTTGCAACCTGGCCACATCATTAGTTACTTCGTTCACCATTCAGTTTCCACTTCCCTGCCCAATAATGACTTCTAGTGGCCTCTGTGGTGGATTTATACAACAGAAGGTAGTTTTCACTAGAGCTACCCATGCCACAGCATGGAGAACACTGGCTCTTAGTCCGTGCATGTCATATCACAGAGGTACTACTAAGTGTGCAGGTTGTTTTTCACAAGGTTCTCTCTAGGACAACTACAAATATGACAAGACTATTGAGTTTCCATTCCAACCTAGTTGCTTGAGAAAATACATCTTATTTCTTCAGCTACCAAACATACATTGATTTACTCACTCACTCATTCCATGTCATCTTAGAGGTGCTTTGCTATGCCACCACATATACTCTATGGAGCTGAAAAGTTACTTAAGAGAGCTCTTAACATTTCTGCTAAGAGTAAGACTGGCAGAGGGGTGGGCAGGTGAAGCAGGACTAATTTCATAAAAAGGAAACAATCTGTTTTGGAACATCTCACAGTATTGTTACTGATGCATTAAATGTCACATTGCCAATGAGATAGGTAAGGCAGTTACACTGAAGCAAACCACGTCACCATTTTGAAAGATAGCAAAAGCCAGTGTCAGATTCAAAAAAATCTAATTTTATTTGAAAACCCCAAGTTTACTAGTTTCAGGCTACATGTGAACAAGGACAAATGTAAGTGGTAAGAAAAAGCAGAACTTCTGTTCTCCTGAGCATTATTAAATACCCAGACATAATACCACAAGCCTCCAGGGACAGTGTACAATAAGTAAAGCTGAATCAAAGAAAAAAGCCCTCTCCTGTATCAAAGCACAAATGATACTGGAAGAAGGCAGCAATGGTTCTTACAACAGGAGCAGTTAGTATTCAAACAACTGTTTCACTTTTACCAGTTTGGCATTTTCCCTGGGATCCTAACAGGGCTAGACAAACATTACCCGATTTTACACACATCTTAGTAACCTAAAAATGGTCTTTCTTAAGTGATATTTTTTCTTTTTTCACAGATAAACTCTTAACTAGAATAATCTTCTACAGAAAGTGATTTTAAAGGGGGAGGGACTTTTCATTAGGCAGGGCCACTTACCTGCTGGCAAGACTGAGCAGTTCATGTTTGTCTGCTACAGCCGATTTCTTCTCAAGCTCCCACATTAGGACATTGATCAGATGTGAATTTTTAATTACAATCGGCACTTCTTCAAACATGTGCTCAAAGGTGATATTTGCCTTTTTCAATCTGTGAAGCATGTTAAAAATACTTTAGTTGGGTGGTCAGAAGTAAGTGCTAAATTGACTATTTCATACATTCTGCCTAATTACAGGCCCTCTTCAGGATCTTTGTTTCACTAGCACTCTTAAAAAAAAAAAAAAAAAAAAAAAAAACTAGAGTACACAGGAGCCCAGGAGCCCAAAAGTAAGTGATTTGAGTATCTCTGAAAATGACCTGAATTTAAACTGTAAGTCCAGAAAATAAGAATCTTGGCAAAAGAATCTATTCATTCTTTGTAATCATGTACCTTTAAAATGTCACTAATACTAAAATGTACTTGTCACAATAAGTTATAAGTTATGCTACACAATCTATGTCTAAAATATTTAAAATACATAGCTAGAAAAAAGTAATACAATATTTCTTTCAAGTTCATTTTAAAAGCCTCCTGACTTAAAAACAATTAACAACTAGCAGATCACTCACAGGAGACTCCACATACAACGGTTCAAAACCCAGAAGAACGTAAGTTCTCACAATGAGTTCTATCACATCTAGCCATTGGTCAGTCATAAGTTAGCTTTTCTTTTTTAATTCTAAGCACCTTAATTCTTTTTAGGGGCCAAATGAGAAATTGGAAATGAAAGCCTTATAAGTAGGACACACAAAGCCACACACTTCGATTTAATAAATAAAAATTAGCATATTCTAAATATTTAAATTTTTTAGAAAAGTAAATATTCAAATGCCATTAAACAGCATCACCAAAACAGCCCCATCAGTTAATCCTCTGCATATGTGTCACTGACAAAATTTCCAATGAGCTACATTCCCTAATGAATCCTTCAAATGTTTAAATCTCCCTCCAACCCCATGAAACAGGATCCCAGAAAAGAAGACACAGAGCTTACAATCTGACAAGTGCTGCCCACTCCTTCCATCTCCCTTTATTCAATCATTCATTTCTTCAAATCCGGTAGCTAATTAATTCCTACTCTAACTGAATTCACTCTTGGTGAGAACAACAGACGAGACATTCCATAAAGAACAATTTAAACATGGAAAGGGAGAAATCAAGTGATATTTGGCATGCAGGAAACTTGTACAGTACACATGGCAAAAGCATTACCACTCCACAACAGAGGATTCAATAAATGTGGCAAACTAAAGTCTTTAAAGAAATACCCAATTCTTCACCATAAACCTCCTAGTCCCCAAACACTTACGCTTCAGGGGAAAAATCCTTCTCTTTACAAACTTCCATCAGCTTGGGAGTCAGTCTGTATGCCTTTAGTGACAGGGACCCTTGGGCAGTTTTTATGGGATCTTGAATAACAAAAAAGAGAACGAAATTCTAAGAATTTTGCTACTACTCGTGCTCACATGACACTGATTCTAGGCTCGGTGTTACTTATACGAATCTTGCAAAATGAAGATCAAAATGATTAATCAGAACACAACTTGAAGTAGACTGAAACCAATACAGCAAACAATAGGCAAAAATCTAGGAAATCTTTATATCCTTGTAATAGGTAGAATAACTTCCTCCCATTAAAAAAAAAAAAGATTCAAAATAGACTTGATATTTTCAAATTCACTCCTCAGCTAAAACCAGTCAGCTTATTGAAAACTTAATTATCAAGCTCTATGCATCTTGTATAATTAGGAAGAAAATACTGATGAGTATTAAACCTGAAAATTTGCTTCATGTACTGTGTTCTTCAGTCAACTAATTTAAAATGCAAACAAACTTTATCCACCCTAATAATCACTGTTCACATTTCTTAATTAAAGCAGATTCTAAAAACATAACCACTAAGTCGGAATGCCATCACATAAGTGTTTTTTTTGTTGTTGTTGTTGTTTTTTTTTTTTTTTTTAAGTTTTAGAGAAACAAATTTTGTCAAAACTAACTGCTTAAACACTCCACGGGTAAGGGAGCTTAGCACTTGGAGCATGATAACGGCTCTGCCATGCCAATATTCGCCTAAAACCTGTGTTAACATTCATGTTGTCTGAAATTTAACACAGTGAAACTTTTAGCAATAGGTGATAAAATGAAAACCAAAATAGATTGAAACAAGTGGAAAATTCATCAAGGTCTGATGATGCAATGTTTCCAGCCAATATAAGTACACTTTAACAACTTGTTCTTTACTGTAATCCAATTGTTAACATACTGAAACAATTTTGGGGCAGCTCATAAGATTGATCGTATTCATTAGTATTTTTTCTGACAGATACTCAGGACGTTACATTTACTTCTCAGCTGGAAACTATATGCAAGTCTGCCAGATATGGCAAACTGTGAGTGTTTGGGGAGGGGGAAGGCTATAAAGCTGTTAAATTGCCTACAGTTCTGATACAGCACAGAACATCTGGTCTGGAGAGCTTGAGGAAACACCATTAAAAAGGCCGAAAAGAAAAAAATCTTTGTGCTAAGAAACAGTCCAGGTTTTGTACGCTGCTGTCAGAGGTATTAAAAAAAAAAAAACTTGGCACACTGTGTTATGATTGGTCAGTCACGTACGGAGCCAGACACTGCAGCAATCGGGGTTTGTTAGACATCTGGTCTAGTTCCACCAGCCCCTTCAATGAGGGAGGGGAGATGGAGGAATAAAAATGAAGCAGCTACTCCAGCATTCCAAAATGTACACATCAGGGCTCTGATAGCAAGAAAAATAAACAGAAAGAAGGAAACCCTGTCTAGACTGAGCTGCTGCTGAGGCTGCTGCAGAAACAGGCTTGGTATTTACTTGAGAAGGCCTGCCAGGCTGCTCTCAGAGGCAAAAAAAAAAAAAAAAAAAGGCAGAAAGCAAAAATAGTAGTAATAATAGTGAAGTATTAAGAGAAGAAAATACTAATAAAGGAATCTCCTACTAACCGTAAATGAGAACAACAGATTCTTCAATGGCATGCTGGTAACTGAACTGAGAATCCAGGAGAGCCCGGGTGACGAATGAACCATAGTATGTGGACTGGTACCAGCCCACGTGGAGGTGATCAATGTTTACATGGCGAAGGCTCCGCATCATTTCCATCTGATACTGGACTGGATGACGGGAAGAAGGGGAAGTAAAAGGAAAAAAAAAAAAAAAAAAACCTTAATGATGCCACCAACATTAAAAACAAGCCTTTTTGGAAACAAATTTTTATAAAACTATTTATTAGCTATAAGGAAAAGCTTTCCAGATTGAAAAGTCATTCCCAAGCTTTCAAATTACTGAGCCTTTCCTTTTTTCTTTAATGAAAAAACATTTTGTAGAAAAAATATTAAAAGCACAGTACTAATGTCTTGTTCTAAACAAGAAAGTTATTTATTAAATGTGGTTTCCACTTTCCTTTTTAAAACTTTAAAAACCCTAAATATGTAGGAGAAAACCTATGCAGTTATTGAACTGGTTGATTCTAAGAAATTTCAGTTGGAATGTAAGTAAGAATAGTTATCAATCTATTCAATACAGTTCTTAGAACTGAAAAAAATCATCATGAAAACTAAGGGGAAAACAATCAGCTATGACATTACTTATTATGAACTGGATACAGGCTGCAGCTGATTTAAAATATAAGCATTCATTTTTGCCTTCATCTGGTGCCCCCTGCTGCATATACTACATTTCAAAAAGACATCTTTTTTCTAGTACAAATTATCCTTTGTGTTAAGTAATAGACACCATTTTTTCATTAGAATAGGGTCACATCTTAATCAGCTATGGATGAAACGAAAAAGTTTAGAGGTTTACTTATCTCAAATTAATAAGTACAATATATGGTATTAACTTAAAGCAGTATTACTTCAAGGTACAAAATGAAAATAACATTAAAAAATAAGAAAGCTCAATAATGTACAACAGATATATAATACAGGAGAAAATTTTAGTCAATGTAATATTCAGGCTCTTTTCATTATAATAAATGCATTACCATGTTGAGTAAACATAGGTGCTGTACTCCAAACCTAATTATTTTCACAGGTTTTAGCAAAAGCAGTGTCTCTCATTTCTTTGATTACAGTACTATAGCTTTACGAAAGAAACAACACAAAATATAAAAGAACCTTCTTCAAGTAGATACACTCTTATCCACTTATCAGCACTCGTTACTCGGCAAAGAAATTATAAAGCTGCTTATTCCATGGAAGTTTGTATTTCTCAAGCTAAAAGATAGCAGCCAATGTATCAACTACTCAAGAAATATACTTTCGAATTTCTCTTTTGCTATTGAGAAAAGTTAAAGAAAAGGAAAGCTCCAGAGTTCTTTTATCACTATTTCAAGGGACCTTCTTAAGCCCTGGGCAAGGTTGCAACAGAGTTAGAAGTTGCACTACTCCCAGGATGCAAACCAGTTTGCTCTGTTAGCAAGTGGACTCATTCATTTATAAAAAGGGGTAAAGTGTTAAAACAGAGATGAGTTTGGCTAGTACGTCTTCATTGCTTTTGCTTTTATATACCTAACCAGTGTTTTTGTAAATTTGTGAATAAAACGTGAAAATGAACCTCTACTATATTCTAAAACACTATTAAAAACACCACCACCGGGGCCAGAGCTGTGATGTAGTCGTTAAAGCTGCTGTCTGCAATGCCAGCATCCGATATGGGCACCAGTTCAAATCCCAGCTGCTCCACTTCCGATTCAGCTCTCTGCTCTGGCCTGGGATAGCAGTAGAGGTGGCCCAAGTCCTTGGGCCCCAAGTGGTCCCAAGTCTCCCCATGTGGGAGACGGGGAAGAAGCTCCTGATTCCTGGTTTCGGTTCAGCCCAGCTCCAGCCATTGAAGCAAACTGGGGATGGAAGATCTCTCTCTCTCTCTCTGGTTCTGCTTCTCTGCCTTAGAAATAAATAAATAAATCTTTAAAAAAAACTTCAAAAAGCCATTTTAGGGGCTGGCGTTGTGGCACAGTGGGTTAACACCCTGGCCTGAAGCGCCAGCATCCCATATGGGCACTGGTTCTAGTCCCAGCTACTCCACTTCTGATCCAGCTCTCTGCTATGGCCTGGGAAAGCAGCAGAAGATGGCCCAAGTCCTTGGGCCCCTACACCTGTGTGGGAGACTTGGAAGAAGCTCCTGGTTCCTGGCATCAGATTAGCACAGCTCCAGCAGTTGTGGCCAATGGAAGACCTCTCTCTCTCTCTTTCTCTCTCTCTGCCTCTCCTCTCTCTGTGTAATTCTGATTTTCAAATAAATAAATAAATAAATCTTTAAAAAAATAAATAAAAAATTAAAAAAAGAAAGCCATTTTATAACCAGCAGGATAGCCTCTAAAGTTAACAAGATAATCTTGTATCAATGGTTTTTTTAAAATCTTAAGATCTTATATCTACAGTATAAGAACATACCACATCACACTCCTCACTCCCACTCCCTTCAGCTAATTTAACAGATTCACATCAATGATACAAACTTGGGAAGCATGATAGAATCATTACTCTGACCTCTTTCTGCTTTAAGATCCCACAATTCTTTTAAATAAAAGTAAAACCATTGATTTGGCTAATGAATTTTAATCATATTTATCTTAAAAATGAAAGTCCTACTAAATTTGCTATTATTTTAAAGGGGAAGGGAAGAGAGATGTGGGGAGATTACTAAGCACTGGACAGTACAAACAATATTTTACAGAATGATTTTTGTAATGAGTACTTAACAAAACAATTTGGCTCTACCATAAGCAATGGTCATAGTCTACTAGCATGTAATAATAGAAGAAAAGACTTGGAATCTAGACATCTGAGTTCCCATGCCAACTCTGAGATTCCCTCCCCCAGTAGCATCTTGCTGTCTAGCTACTGATTTTCCTTTGAGGTTTAGTTTTCCCAACTCCAAACAGATCTAAGACCTCTTCTCAGTCAAATCACTATAATTCCAAATTGTTCCTTGGATACGGAAATTGTAAGGAATGATTTTTTTTTTTTTTTTTTTTTTTTTTGGCCAGGCAAAGTTAGACAGTGAGAGGGAGAGACAGATATAGACACTGAGAGGGAGAGACAGAGAGAAAGGTCTTCCTTCCATTGGTTCACTCCCCTAATGGCTGCCACGGCCAGCACTGCACCAGTCCAAAGCCAGGAGCTGGGTATTTCCTCCCAGTCTCCCATGCGGGTACAGGGACCCAAGCACTTGGGCCATCCTCCATTGCCCTCCCGGGCCACAGCATAGAGCTGGACTGGAAGATGAGCAACCAGGACTAGTACCTGGGGCCCCAACCGGGACTAGAACCCAGGGTATCTGCACTGCAGGCAGAGGATTAGTCAAGTGAGCCACAGTGCTGTCCAGGAATGATTTTTCTACTAGCTAAAGCAGTGTCTCCAGCATGCATTACGATATAAAATAAAGATATATTTCTTGGGAAAATATTTTATAATATTGCTAAGGCTTCCTTCAAGCTGCCTGAATACAACAGATTTCTTAACAGCATTTTAAGGAAACATGAAGTAAAAAGTTCTAAGATGCTCATTCCTCTTTTACCTAGAATCATACCTACTTTATATGGCCCCTCCAATAAGAATGACTCCTCCGAAAAGGATGAGAATGAAAACAAAGTGTTTCCCTGAACTAGGGAAGAAAGCCAAGAACGTGAGGCCCATGGCCCCGTGCACTTACCACTGCTCCAACGCATTTAATTCAGGGGACTGGGGAGTAGACACATCGGCTTCTATATTTTTGGAAGCAAAGAGGGGAATATTTCCATTTTCCTCTTCTACAGATGAGAAAATGCCACTAGAGATTTTCCAAAGTTTTAAACACTTATTTAAAAATAACAAAGGTTTCATATCACCTAATGTATTTATAAATCATAAAGGTCTTCATGTCACCTAAGTAACTTGAGGAACTTAAAAAATTAGAGTTAAGAGGTATGACAGGTAAACAAGTGAAACTGTGTTTAAAAATCTACAATGCATTGGAATTTCACTATTACATAACAAAATATACACTGGGTCTAATCTATGTAAACTGTCAGGACATTCTCTAACTTGGTTTGGACTTATCACTAGAATTTTTAAAACTAACAATAAACACATTAAATAAAAGCATCCTCTCACAGGCACTTACAAGCATGCATTAAGATTTAAAATAAAACATCCAAAGAAGGACTGCAAGCAAGTCTTGAAAAAATGGGGATGGTGAGGTGTTAGAACTACAAAGTGAGGGTAGGTGTGCCAAGGTCTGGTACAAAATACACATGCTTGGAAAGAGGTCACTTTGATTTAATAAAATAATAACAAAAGAAGTGATACAATTTGATGATATGCTAGCCAAAGAGCAGGAGGCACAATTCCTTGTCCTATGAATTGTTTTATCTCTGCAGACTTTCAGAAGCATATCCTCATTCTGCTGCTAACATAGATGGGTGACATGTATCTCCCCTCACTCGTGGTTCTTCCTTTTCCTCTTCTCACCCAAATTTACAAAAAGTACAAAATTGCCCCCCAGTAAAAGTTTCCACTGGTAAACCTAGGTAGGGGTAAGAAATGAACAGCTGGGCTGCCCCACTCAGTGTCTCAAAATCGTGCTCCCAGAAGCCACACCAGCTGACATCTATTTCTCTCTCCGCACTGCAGTAGAGACAAGAGAAACTCCAGGATGGGTAAAATGCCAGTTGTTCGACAAAGAAAATAAAGAATGGTCACTCAAGATTCTACTCGCCTGAGTAAATACCACTGCTTTTGTGGCTGTGCAAACTTCTGAGTTATGGTGGGGTGGATGTGCAAAGGACCCAACACAGCGGAGGAAGGAGGAGTCTTCTAAAACCTCGAAGTGATTGTGATTTTGATGCCCGTCACACCGAGCCCAGACTCTGATGAATGTGAGGTGGTGCTATTTGCTTCCTTATATCCAGAGAGACCTGCAAATTGGCTGCAGAAAGTTCACCCCTACTTGGAGTAGCTCACAGCTCAGAAAAAAAAACAACACACACACACACAAAGAAACAAAAGGATAAAGGAGAATGAAAAGATATAAGGAAGTCCCCTGACATCAAAGTGTCCTAACTCCCTATTGTTGCCTCATGAAGATCAATAAGAAATAGCAATTCACTGGCAACTTTGCAAAGCTGGAC